ACTTTTGATCGAAAATTGGATATGGGCCAGGAATCCATTATCTTGACTAAACCACATATTTTCTATCTCTATATCTCCTTCTATATCTCCGACACAACCCAAATTTAAGGCTTCTATAGTTCCTAGACCATGGGGACCCATCTTCTTCCTAATGAGGTTGGCTAATATTAAATGGATTGGATATCTTTGGCCATTGCGCCAGAAATTTAATTTATGTAGTTTTTCAAACTCGAGAATGCGTTTGTGGGGGGGGGGGGAAGATTGGTTCGACTGTGAAAACACTTGCTGCTACACATAATTGATAGCAATCACCAATTCCTACGTTTGCCGAAAAAGAAATAACTTTATTCAAATATAAAACGACATACTTCAACCAATATAAACAATCTCATCACCTCTCCTTCACGAGCTTACACGGTTGGTTTGTTTTCTCTCATGTCAACCGCTTTTTCCTCGTGATCTTCAAGCTCATGCACATCGTCAATAACTCTTAATTCCTTATGGAATCTTTCCGGACCAAGGAAAACAACGAGTATCATAAATGCAAAAATAGCACCTGAGAAAATACACATAACCAACGCATAGTCGTATACTCCTGGAGCGGCCCCTTCAATTGGGAAAAGTTCTCCAAGTTTTGCTTCAATCGTCATAGAGGCTGAAGAAACTAAATTACCTAATTGATAAGCTAAACCAGCTAATAAGGTTCTGTGGGTAGTATTCACCAATTCTAAAAGATGAATTGGACCGACACCCCAAGCACCCAAAACCCCAACATTTAACAACACATATGCCCACCAATTCTTGTCAGCATTGAAGAAGGCTGGATAGCAAAAGGCACCACACCAGAGCATAGAAATTATAATGGTTAATCTTCTTCCAAAGATCTCAGAAGCATTACCCATACAGACACCTCCGATCACACCCCCGACGTTACTGATAGCAACGATAAGGGTTCTTTGGTCAACATTAACATTGAATTGGGTAGATAAAAGTGTTGCATACAAATCCATAGTCCCATGAGCGAGGAAACTATAACCACTGTACAAAATCACAAGGTATAGGAACATTAACCATTCCGTCTTAAGTGTGACTAATACACTATAATCAAACTTCTTCCAGAATCCACCACCCTTTTCCATTTCAGCATTGAATTTCTTCTTCTTTTCTTGGATTTTGATAAAATCTGGCGACTCTGGGGAACACACTCTCCAAACAATTAAGATGACCGACAAACCACCTGAGAAAAAGAAAAGCGATCTCCATCCTTCCCCTGGTTTATAGGTATCAACAAAGGCCCGATAGAAAATCGTCGCAAAAAGATACCCGACATTATATCCTGGTATGAAGAACCCAGAAAGAATTGATCTTGCCTTTGTTGGCTGTCCTTCTAAAGCAGTAACCATGGCAATCGGATACATACCACCCATGAGAATACCAAACAAGGCTCTAACCCCTAAGAATTGTTCATAAGTCTGAACAAACCCAGTGCCAATCTCGACACCGATAAAACAAGCTGCAATAATAATATAGGTCCACTTTCTTCCTAAATAATCTGAAGCAATACCAAATCCGAGAGAACCCACGGATCTAAGCATTAGCACTAATGTAACTCCCCAACTGACGTCAGTCACGGAAACACCTAAAGTAGCAGCAATTTCAGGAACAGCAACAGCAACACAAAAGAAATCCATCGCATCAACAACCCAACCGAAGTATCCCAAAAAATAGAAATTCCAATTACTGGCGGTCATTTCTCTTAACCCAGGGATTGGATTGAGCACCTCTAACCATCCCTCCTCTCTGTGAAAGAGAGGTAAATCCATGAGTGTTGAAAGTCTCGTTCCAAAGTAATGTTTCAAGGCATGCGGAGAAAAGTCCGGTTTGTCGTTGAATAATGCAAATTGTAATTCTTCATTGTCTTCATTATATGTAGCAGCCCTGATAAGAGCGTTTTCTTCTTTTATGGAAATAATATCAAGCGAACGCTTTGAATGTTTTGGTTCCATTTTGTTGTTAGTTTTTTAGTTACTATACGGCTGAACCCAAAATCATTTTAGCGAATGAAATGGTCCTCTATTTATATTCATTTGGGCATCACCCAGCATATGTTGGTTTGTTCCCCATATTTCATAATCATGGTGGGGATAAATGGACAAGGGAATACAATTTCCACAAAGGAAATGCTTCTCTACAAGCAATTGCCCTCAGTTCGCGGCTATCAGAAGCCCCACAACCGGAACGCCAAGTCAGTTTCTAGTTTTACCCTTGTAAAAGCTTGTTGCAAATTTTGGACGGATAAGGTAGGGTGTGTGGGTTTTCTGCTCCACTTGTTGGTATGTGATTTTCTTCAAAGAAGTTCCTAAAAAATATTTTTTTATTTTTAAGAAGGGCGCGTCGAGAATTGCAAACGTTAACCATACGCAGTTAGCAAAAATAAGTGCATAAAATGTGAACTAGTAAGCATTGTTCATCGTAATTATCAGAGTATTCCGAGTTAAAATTGTACTCAATACATGGTGGCAAACAGTTGTTTTAGGCAATTCAGAAATGGTAAAACAGTTTATACCATTTTGTTTTCTTATAACATTAAAGAAAATCTACAAAGCATTTCCCCTTTTAACATTGTGAGGCTATGACACCTCTTTATATCTCCCGTGGATATAGCTTTTATTTCGGGGTTTTATGCAAGAAGGATAAATGGACATTTTACTAATAAGATGTGAGTCTTGGCACAAAGCGAAAACTCGGATCCAAAAGCCCCACGATTCGGATGTAAGAGATGAGGCAGGTTTCTTTCAGAAACTAATGTAATCTGGTTAAACTACCTGTAACTTGATATCCTGATCTTATAAAAGGTATTCTATCTATCCTTGACAAAATTGAATTTTCATGGATACGAAATTCTATACATTCACAAAACCTTATTTTGAGAAGCACTACTAAGTTAAAAAACTGTCAGTATCGTCGACCCCCTCCCCCCTCCCACCCCACATTATCGAGCTTTACATTTACACCTTGAGCGAAAAGCTGTTGGAATATTATTTACAAAGTCTTCTAAATTATCTGCAGGAAGCGGTACAGGGCCCTCCACAAATGATTCAATCTCAAGTAATCTATCCTAATTACAAAACACTTTTTCCCCACAGAAAGCTTTGGATGATTGGATAATACCATAAAAATACTAACTGTATCATGCGTACTCAACACATTATCATGTTTATGCTGTTTATATTGATAAAAAGAAGATTTCATATTTCCACTAATATAAATAAGATCTAACGGTCGAACGTTAGTATTATGGTGGTTTGTAAATTGTTGCCTTCTTGGAGAGAAATGACGGAAAGCATCAATAAGTCTATTTCCTTTGATGGAATACAATAACTCTCTGGCTGCTTCTAATAGATAATGGATTCTGCATTTCACCATCAACATTCGTATCAAATACATTATTAGAATAATCAGTGCCGTCTGTAGCAATATTTCAGGAGACTTCCAACCGTTTATGGGAGCAACCCATTCGTTTATTTAAGTGCGAGTTTGGAAAAAGGGCTTATCTTCTGAAGAACAATAGCAAACAATTGCAAATCCAAAGCTAGGATTTGCAGCCAATCGAAATCTTGTAATAGCATGGCATTGCCTTAGTCTAAACTGATTAATTTCAAGACATCCCTCAGAGGAACCCTTCTTAATGTATATAATTACAAAATTGCTGGTATAATTGAATCTGTAATTAGTAATGACTTCATTGTATGTGTTTATCGATAGATTTCAAGAAAGCACAAGAAAAAAATAATCATTCGATTTGGGTGCGAAATTTATTTTTTTCCATACAATTGGAACTTGAAACATGTGAGTGAGGTGACGAGACATTCACATCAAACATCTCTATCCCCTGTTTGGAATAAGCCCAAAAAGCATCCACCCATTAGAGAATCTCAATATACGTGAATATATGTAGACACTCTTCTTAGGGTCTTCACCAGTATCTTCTGAAAGTGTTTAATGAATATTCCCAGTTAAATTTGACGACAAATCACCCAATCGCGTTTTAGCACCTTATACATTAAACACATTCACCTAAACAATTTACTACACGAAAAATAAAGCTAGAATGTATGTATTTAGTTCGAACTCTATTCTCAGTTTCGTGTTGAATTTTGGTGAGATTTTCGATGTTTCAGAAATTTCCTTAAAAAGTTATGCGATTTTTACTTTGCATATTAATTATTTTTTAAGCTTTCGTCAATTTTTATCATTAACGAAATACCGATTTGTGATAATTTGCTTTCCATAACTTTCTTTATTACTCATTACACTTTAGATAGACCAGATCCAATATCTAGATATAAATAAACACTAGCCAACAACTTTTTGCCACTTTGGAACCAAACTCAATAGTAAGAAATATTCGCAACTTTACACTTAGCACAATTAAAACCAGCTATAAATAGAATAACCACACATCAAAATGAATGAAGAATTGGCAGGACTATTATTATTCCTTGTTTTGGCAGTATTGTTCATAATATTAATGTTTATTGTATACAATGAGAAGCAAAGTATACTAAATTACCATGCGCTAAAACAAGATATAGTAGCTTCATTTCGAAGAGACTTAGAAGCTAATAATGACGTACAGAACAGGTGTTAGTACCTTCCTATTTAGACAAGCAGAAGATGATTACTGTATTGAGAAGAATAAACAAAAGCCACCCAGCCTAACTTCTGTTCAGAGTCAGCTGTTTCCGGAATTGAAGAATTATGATCCCCAGAAAAGGTGGGCCTGTGCTTTTAACGTTTTTATTGAGGTATAGTGGTTAGCGGATCATTAAACATTTTTGTTTCTCAAGCTACCGGTATGTCTATACATAGAGTTTCATCAGTTTTCTGTTTAATCGAAGCATATTTCATTCTTCGGTAATAACAGCATGCAAGATGATGAAACGTAGGGGATGTGGAGAAACTGGAACGGGCCCAGGCGAAAGATGAACATAACATAGCGCAATTCAAATATAGATCAAGGAGAGAAAATATCGCCAGGTATTTCTTGCCTATAGAGGTCACTCATACGCCAATAACCAAGTTTTATAAAGAACATTAAAGAGAATATCCTCGCCTTTAAAGTTTTTAGCAATTAACACTATATAAAACATAAATCAAACATTTGCTATAGTGGCAGGTTTATCTGATTTTTCTGGAGAGAGTGGTTTTGAAACATCTTCCAATTTATTTCTAAAACTCTTCATTGGCTTCAAACCCCATTTTGCCAACATTTCAATATCTTCATCCCAACCATTACACATGGTAGTTAACATCTTCTCACCAGTAAAAATAGCATTACAACCAGCCATGAAACATATGAACTGCTCATGTTCTTTCATGGTATATCTACCAGCAGCTAATCTTATTATAGAGTCAGGCATTATTAATCTTGCAGTTGCAATTGTTCTTAAGATCTGATCAAATTTTAATTGTTTTTCCTTAGGTAAGGTTTTCAATTCCTCTTCCATTGGTGTACCTTTGATTGGGACCAATCGATTAATAGGTAACGATTCAGGATGCTTTTCCATTGTGGATAAAGTGTACAAAAAGGAAACATGATCCTCAGGAGTTTCCCCCAAACCTAAGATCCCACCAGTACAAGCACTAATCCCGGCATTTTGGACATTTTTCAAAGTTTCTAACCTATCATCAAAAGTACGACTAGTAATCACATTTGGATAATGTTCTCTTGAAGTATCAATATTATGATTATAAGCCGTCAATCCATGCTTCTTCAACTCCTTCGCCTGATTCTCATCCAACATTCCCAATGTCACACAAGTCTCCATCCCCAATTCATCATTTATCCTACTTACCATCTCACCAATCTTCCTCATTGCCGATTTCCTACCTGTCATATCCCTCCACGCAGCACCCATACAAAATCTAGTGGATCCGTTCAGTTTCGCAATCCGGGCTTTTTCCATCACTTGATCTACGGTGATTAATTTCTCCGCCTTCAATCCGGTGGGATTCCGAGAAGATTGGGCACAATATTTACAATCCTCAGAGCAACCCCCTGTCTTGATTGATAATAATGTACATAATTGAACCTCACTCGGGTCATGATATTGACGATGTTGCAATTGTGCTTGGAAGATAAGCTCCATTAATGGGGTGTTGTAGATTTGTTTAATTTGGTCCTTGGTCCAAGTTGACATTGGCGGGTTGGTTCTTGCTAATTCAATTGGAGAAATTGAACCATTGGCAGAAGAGGGGGCTTTGGTGATTGTGTTGATGTTGAAGTTGATGGAAGCTGATGAAGTCGCGGAAGTTCTTGGGAAGTGCTTAAGGGCGCTGGAGGACATAAATCTTCTAAGCATTGTTGCAGTAGTGAGTAAAGAATTGAAGCAAGGAAATAATCTAAATAAAAGTTTAAAAATTTAAAATAAAGGGGGGAATAAGGAGATTTTTATAGAGTTGTACACCCTGCTTATTTAGTTGCAAATTTAATTGGACGATGGCTATTTTTTTGTTGGCGGAATGATTCAGAGTCATCATTCTCTTTGTTTTTTATAGATTAGGAATGCACTTTTGTTAGTTATTGTGGTTGTCAACTCGCTTTTGGTGGGAACGTGTCCTTCTACTTTAGAAATGAGGTAGCATCAACTTAGACTTAGATATTAATACCTAGATCTTGAAAAGTCCTTAAATTCGCATGATGTCTGGGTGACGTCTATTAATTACATATTTACACATATACGAGATGTGTTGCAAAGATGACTCAGATGACTACTTTAGGGCACCAGACCTAATCCACAAGAAAACACGTGAATTTGAAATCTACAGAAAAATTTCGTGTACCTACCATTTCGCACAACTTTTTTTTTTCAGTCGAGGTCCACTATAGATGATTTAAAGCTGAAAAATTATTCCCATCAATCTTGCTTTTCTTTTCTTCTTCATCCAAACAATAATACAAAATGGCTCCAATTGTATGTATATAATGAAATAAACTAACAAAGATACCAATCAATATAGTATATCCACAACATTAAGAGAGACGATCGGTTTGAAAGTATAACTTTTTCCCATAGTTATACGGGTTTGGAATTTTTTTTTTTTTTTACAAATTGACATGATGGAATTATTTTACACAATAAAACCTATTTGTTGAAAAGATTTGCCCTTGTTTCTCTCTTCTTTACCCGTATTTGGGGGGAAGGCTTTGCTGTCAAATGGTTCTTATTTCTTTAGTTTTGATTTACTAGAAGATAGGGAACTTTTTATTTGAGTACGGTAGGCTAACCTTTTCCAATTATAGACCTCCAAGAAAGCTAAGGCTGCTAAGAAATTCGTCGTTGATACCTCCGCTCCAGTTGAAAATGGTGTTTTTGACCAAGAAGGTTACGTTAAGTACCTTGTTGAACATATCAAGGTTGAAGGTATTGTTGGTAACTTAGGTGATGAAATCTCTGTTACTTCCGAAGGTACCAAGGTTGTTGTTGTTTCTAACACCAAGTTCTCTGGTAAATACTTAAAGTACTTGACCAAGAGATACTTAAAGAAGAACCAAATCAGAGATTGGATTAGATTTGTTGCTGTTAAGCAAAACCAATATCAATTACAATTCTACTCTGTCGCTGAAGACGAAGAAGAAGAAGACGAAGAATAAACGTGCTCCGCAGCTGTTTGATTCTTTAGTCTTTGATACATCTTTTCATTTCTTTACAGGGGTTTCTTCTTATTTTTTGTTAAGGGTTAATAGGTTTTAATGTGTAAAATATAATTTTTTGCTTTTATAAACAGAAAATAAGATTATCCAAAAGAGAATTATTGTAGAATCGTAGATAATGTAACATTAATTAACTCTTGAACTCTCGGTTAACCATATTGAAGAGATAATGCCAGATTAATTTTTCAAGCTGATACGGGTGTGCACATAAAATTTTGCAATTTGCCTTACCAATTGATAGCAGTGCACAGCTAGGAAAACGCGACTAATTTAGAGAGCGACTCCACAAAGCCAAGCTTCTTAGAATTCTTGAAATTATTGTCAGCGGACTTCGTCTTAGCTTAAAGGTTGAATCGGCCGGCAATCTCAAAATGCAGATAGAGAGACAATTGAAAGGTTCTTTAGAAGGATAAAACAACTTTCATACAATAATTCGACTCAGTATAGAAAGACAATTTTAAGTGGACGATAAATGGAAAACACATAATTCCGAAGTAGTCGCCAAGATATTTGAATTGGATTCTTAGTTCTGAGCCCTCACATCTTGACAGTAAACCTTCAAAGCTTGTTTGTGTTGGCTAATTGGATGTCCTATTAGTACTTGCAGTACAAGACCACATCTTCATTATGTATTACATTGATTCCGCTCCCCGGAAAAGTGTATTACAACAATCCTCGTTGAATATGTTGCGTTGAAAATGACAGATATATAAATTGATTGCTGCAAAACTGGCTAAGAAAATATAGGTGTAATAAATTGGTCTGCGAAAACATGTTGCAATTGAAATGTCACAAATATTTTTTAAAGTTTCATGTATGGCGCATAACCATGCAACAGAACAAATTAAAATTTTGCGGAGAACAAAAAAATAATTCTGATCTCATAATTACCAATTAAAAAATATTGTAGTGACAACTTGAGTTACTTATCTACAGGGGGGTAAAACACTAGCGATATGTGTATTAGTTTAAGAATATAGATAAATATGTATATATGACTATAAAATGACACAATAAATGAAATGAAATAAATAGCAAACCCAAAGACCAAAAAAACAATCGACATCTTACCATTCAACAAAACAAAAAAAAGTGGGAAAAAGCTTCTATTATTTTATAATTAGAACTTTTCTTTTTGGATTACAAAAAACATGAAAATTTCATCAACAACAAAAAGCTTACAATTGGCATTGGGGATGGACGAAAAGCGATGGGACAAATATCAAATAATGAATAGCAAACAAGGTATGAGTCAAATAGACCAATCTCTTTTAATGAATATAGAATTGAAAAAATGCAAGCCGTTAGAAATCGTTAATAATAATAATTTAGTTAATCAGTTTATCTTATTGTAAAGCTTATGTTTATATGAACTTGAGATAATCTTGTAATTCTTAATACAATTATCAATAAAATCTTTTGTAATATGAGCATAAAACAATACCAACATGATGACTTCTATTATATAATACACCAGTCTATCAAACCAATTGTAAACGTTATTAAATGCTGTTGGTACTGGGATGAACCCAAATAGTAAATTCATTATGAACAATTGAATATCCCTTTGGTTTGTTTTAATGTAAATTGATTGATTTTAATCAAACGAGAAAAGAATTGAGAAATTTTCAATTCATTTTATAATTTTAATTTGAATTTAATTATCTTCACAAGAAAAGAAGAATTTTAATTTTAATAATTTTAATAATTTATGCATTAAAGAAAAGAAAGACACAAACAAATAAAATTAGAAATTGATGACTTCTCTCTATTTAAGTTCCAAGAGTTGCATAGTTATTAGTTTTCTTATTAAGGTGTCATTCAAAAAAAGCCTGACAACCTTCTCCTGCACGTCACTCTGCATGGGTCCCCTATCCCGTTACACAGAAAACCTTTCTATAAATCCGCTGGACTTGGGCATAGTACAAGTAGATTAAGTTCCAATTGGTTTTTCTAGATCAATTTCATTCAACCACGATCGTCAGTATTTTTAAGTCAATTATTAATTCTCGCAAAAGCGTGTTTCATATTTAGTGATAATGCATTTTCACATGGGAACGATAGCTGCAAAATTTTATTTTCTATTGTTCTTTCCGTACTTAACATCAACCAAAGAGATACCAGAAAAAGATAATTACTTAACCTGACAACCAAACACGGAAGTTACAATTCAAACACAAAACCTCTCTTATCTCTAAGGCAAATCAGCGGTCGTTTACTGACAGCCACGGCAACACAATCTATGCCACACTGTTCACGTAGTACGTAAACAGTTATCTACGTTTTTACAAGAACAACGTGCAATATCTCTGTGGGAGTCTCACAATAGATTCTCCCATTCAGGGGCATTCAACAGGTATCATATGAAACGATTAGACATGTGCACGACACGCATCCACAGTAACTACAAATTCAACTACATTATCTATCTTTTCGATTATTTTTGAATGTACAGTATATAAATAATGATACACAGAGTAAGTATCATACAATGCAATTAAGAACAACAAGGAGAAAATCAATTTTCCTTTTGTAATTCGCCTTTAACCCATCCTTCTAAACCCCCTTTAACAATAATATCTTGCAAATTAGTACCTAATTCACCAACCTTCTGTTGTAAAATCAAATTACCTTCAACATCAGCAACTTGCACTTGTGCCTTAGTAACATCCCATTTCAAAAACCAACCAGTTCTAATTGTCAATTCATCAGAACCTTGATATTTCTCTCTCAACATATTAATTAAGTCAGGAATTTCTAAAGTCAATAAAGCATTATTAATAGAATTTCTACTGAAAATATTCCCAAATGAACCAGCCACAACTAATTTCATCCCTCTTGCTAAAATACATGTTGCTGCTTGTTCACGAGATGACCCAGTACCGAAATTATATCCAGATATTATAATATCTCCAGGTTTGGTCTTAGAATGGAATTGAGAATCATAGTTTTCCATACAAACTTCTGCCATTTTGGATTTGGGGATATCATCTTGATAAGTATATTTCCCAGGATAAATCCCATCAGTATTAATATTATCAGCATTACACAAAATCAATTCACCTTGAATCGATTTAGGGAACCCTTCAAGTACTTCAACACCGCCAGTTTCTTCAACCGCCTCAGTTTGTTTAGGTTGAGTTACTTCAATCGACTTGACAATTTCACGAGTTGGTTCAACTGGTTTACCTTGTAATTCCTCAGGACCTCCAATTCTACCCAAAACAGCAGAAGCAGCCACAACTTCAGGAGAAGCCAAATAGGCTAATGCATCCTTAGACCCCATTCTCCCCTTGAAATTTCTATTCGTGGCCGAAATACCAACTTCTCCATCTTTCAATAACCCAGCTCCTAAACCGATACAAGGACCACAACCGGCAGGTAATGGTTTAGCACCGGCTTCCAACATGGTTTGCCAAGCGCCGACTTGTTCTGCATCTTGTTGTACTAATGAAGATGCAGCCGCAACGTAGAATTCAACATTTGGATGAACTTTATGTCCTTTGATTATATCTGCAGCAGCTTGGATATCGGAAAGACGAGAATTCGTACAAGATACCAAATATGCCTTATTGATGGCGATATTTTGGGCTGATAGTTCGTTTAAGGAGGTGGAAACTTTGACGGAATTTGGACCGGAGATGTATGGGGATAATGAAGATAAATCAACAACTAAATGCTTGGCATATACTGCATTATCATCACTCTTGACTTTGTTATTGGATAATTCTTCTACTGTCTTTTCATTAATTCTTGGATGATTTGGACCTAATCTTTCCAATCTTTGTTTATAAAATTCCACCAAAGGTTCATCAATTGGGAATAAACCAGATAAAGCACCCCATTCAGTTGTCATATTTGCAATTGTCAATCTATAATCCACAGGTAACTTCTTAATTCCTTCCCCGACGAATTCAATTGCATGATTTAAGACTTCATCCTTATTAAATTCCCCACATAATGCCACGATAATATCTTTCCCAGTTACACCTGCTGGTAATTCCCCCTTTAATTCCACTTTCGCAACTGGAGGAATCTGCCACCAGGTCTGTCCCGTGGCCCAAATTGAAGCAGCATCAGTTCTTACAATCGGAGTCCCCAATGATCCAACACCACCATATGTATTAGAATGAGAATCTGAAGCAACCGTCAAATTCAAAGGAAAGGCATATCCTTCTTCAATCATAATCTGATGTCCAATCCCTCTTCCAGCAGGATAGAAATCAATACCTTGTTCCTTCGCAAAGTTCTCAATATTTCTATATTTTTCTAAATTCTTTTCCAGCTTATTTTGTACATCATGATCTAATGTACATACAACTTGTCGATTATCTTTGACTTTTTTAGCTCCTAATCCTAAGAACTTGGTAGCGACTGGCCAGGAATTATCATGAGACATACAATGGGCGGGTTTGATTGTGACATAATCTCCACTGAAGACTTTTTTGTTGGGTGGTAATCCAACCGCATATTTTTGGACTATCTTTTCGGTTAAATTTTGTCCACGGAATAATGTGGATGTGGTTGAGAAAGATCTCTTGATTTGTGATATCCTTAACATGTCTGTTGATCTATGAGTATATTCAAGAAGAAGAAAATTGACAAAAGAAAAGGAATAGTTGAAAAGAAATTTTTTGAAATTGAAAACCCTTCAAGGTGGTGTATGAAATGAAAAATTTTGATATTTGTAATTATTATTATGCCCTGCATATAACCCAAATTAACCGCGCACTGATAAGCTTGCCGCGTATGAGTCAGAAATTTTATAATTCAATCTATTGGATTATGGGACAAAACATCCAAACATCAACTATAAATCAGTCACATTTCGGTACAGGCGCCGATTACGGCACAAATTGCACAAAATAATTTTGTGTTTTCTAGTTACCCCATCCAAGAGCCACACCCCAGTATAGGTCTTTCCTATAGTAAGATATACCACTATTCCATTTCCTTCTGTTCAAGCCAACTAATCAAGACCTATCGACCCAAACGAATTGTACCTAAAAAAATTCAAAAAAAGAATATCTCGATCGTAAGACCAACAAGGTTGACTTTCTATGAGACATACCAACAAGACACCATCAATCAAGGAACCAGTGATCAAACCAAGTAACGGGAATGTCAATATAAACAACGCACGGTTCGATCCCAGAATTATGCATGATATCGGGGTTGATTAAAGAAGAATTGGAAACTTCTTACTTTTTTTTTTGCAACCCACGTACAAATGTAATAGCATGAAATACGACATCAACCCTTGGCTCTTTAGGTAGGGTTTATCTTAGTTTCAATCCCTCCGACTGCGCAAGTTAGGCAAGTGTGAGACGCGACTCATGAGTGGCCTACTCATTGGACCAAGTTCCAGATTCCTTGTTTAGTTCTGGTTGGGCAAAGTAATTAATTCCTCTATGAAAAACGGCCAAATTTTGGACAACGAAACTCAATTGACTTTCAAGACTTTGGTGAATGGCTAATAAAGATACACCCAAAGTAATAGAACGGATATTGAAGGGAATGTATTTTTGGTCAACTCCCGGAGTCACAGAATGGCCACACTTCCCTCCACTACGGAAATTGATTAGCATCTCGTAAGAACCAACCACGCATGTTCTAATTAAATCTTCTCAAATTATCTTCAAGAATGTAGAGAATCTATTCAAAGGAGGATATTCAGTATTTATATATTTCTGATACTTTGGTCGACATTATCCAGGAGTTACATCGGAATATTATACGAATGTGGCTTTGGGGTTTTTAGTTTTCGAGCCATATAAAAGGGTATGCATTTGAATGCAGTACAACAATTTAGGAATTTATGATTTCAGGGGTTTATAAAATATTTAACCTGGCTCTAAATTCATATATATATTAAGGCATTTCGTTATATACCTAATAGAATTACTGCTTATAAGAGGTCTTTTGCATCATATATTGATCCATTTTTTTGTTCCTCTAATTGTGTATCTGATTATTATATTCCTGTATGTTATTATGTATGAGAACTAGAATAAATGGTTGTATCAGAAAAAAAGGCATATCTACATTAAGCCATCTTCATCTTCGAATGTACTTTATTTCATTTCCTGATAAATTGGCGGCACAATTTGAATTCATTGAATTGAGTTCTGGTTTGCAGCCAAAAAAATCGACCGTGGAAAGAAAAATTCTACCGGCCAAGAATTAAGTCAAAAACGAAGAAAATATTATTGGTACTACGTAATTTCTTCTACTGCAATTCTCCAGACTTGGAAATAATTAATGAAACCTCCTAAAATATTATAAATTTCTTGGTACCTTTACCAAACAAGATAAATTTGTACCACCTTGCTGTCTGTTCACTAAAAAAATGAAAAATTCAAACCCAACGCGCAATTTTTCACTCTCAATGCAAATCTCAATTGATCATCTTTCACTTAATCATCGACAACTATTAATGATTGGACATGTATTACTTGTCATAGCAATCGCGTCATCATACGTGTTTGCCATATACTTTGCCCAACCTCCTAGTTTGAGAGATAAAGATAGAAACGATATTGAGGTGGTTAAACATCGAATTAAACGAATAATTATATTATGTTCAGTCTTGTTAGTATTGATTCCAAATTTAGTTGAGGGATCATATTTAGATAATATTAGATCTTTGGGGATAATTCCTGGATATACGAAGACAGATAGTTTGATTAAGGATTATAAGATAATTAGAGAATCTTTGTATTTTATCTTGACATTATATAGTTCAAGTATTTATCAAGGATTATTAATTAGGGATATTGAATTCATATCTCGAGATGAAAGTATATTGTATCATATTAGAGATCATATAATATCACCAATTTCGGAAGAATTGATCTATAGAGGAATGATAATATTAGTCGTGGAGAAGTATATTCCTAATTTCATGGTATTTACTCCATATCTATTTGGTATTGCTCATATTCATCATGGAATTCAATTATATTTTAGACAAATACCAATTGGACAAATTTTAAGGACAAGCGGATTTCAATTTATTTATACTTCAATATTTGGGATATTTTGTAATTATTATTATATAAATATTGCAGAAAAGAATCTTTGGTCAACGATTGTGATTCATATGATTTGTAATTTCTTTGGATTCCCAAGTTTGTTGGTTGATTCAAAGGATTTAATTCATCATGTTATGTATTATCTGCTAATAATTGTGGGTATTTTTAATACTTGGTTTGTTTTGAAAAATAATTAGTTAGAGAAAAGGTCAGATCAAAGTTTACTTAGAGGATTCTTGTAACATCAATGTACAGTTATATATTGTCATGACAAATTACGGACTTGTAGAACGGAAACACACAGTTTTAGAAGTCGTCCGACCAAATGCTATTCGTTTTTTTTAATTGTGGCAAGAAAACAATGGGAATTATGGGGTATGAACAATGACAAGTTTAGAAAACAACGTGTGTCTAAGTTAAAATACAATAATAGATACTTCGCCTTCGTACATCAATCAATAGGAGTACACTAAAGACTGGAGAGCAGCAGCGATGAGTGTAACTGAAAAGAGAGATATTACTAATAGATAAGAAGGTATAATTTGTACTTCCCACTATCAGTTAGGTGCCCCAAGAGAGATTGAACGAGTCTCGTTTGAGAAGAAAATTTAACCCCTTAAACATTTGATCAGAAATAATAAATACAGTCGCGGCGCACTTTTCTGTATTGTCGTGTTTTAATTGTGTCTAGAGTCTTCTCATTTTGGACGTGTACACCTTCTGTTTTACAGTAGTTGCCTTTCATCAAGTTACAGTCAGAGTTTCCTTATAAATACAAAGTTAATTAATTAAGTTTTGTCGTAATTTAGTGGTTTTTGATTTCTAACAAGTTTAATTTAAACAGTAAAGAAAATTATGTAAACTTTAAAAAAAAAATTTAACGTGTTTATTTTTTTGGCAACCAATTTCTTTTTTTGGTTGTCGAGAGAAATTTAACGAATTAATAATTTTACAGTTTTCTTTGTGTTTGCCTTATTTTTACTTGCTTTTTTACACTTTATAGTTTTTATAGTTTCTATAAAGTCCCTCTACACATTTCTTAATACCATTTTCAGTATCCCTTTGTTTTAGTTAGTTTATTAAAGTCAATTAATAGGAATTGTGTAGAGAGAGATCAGGTGGTTATCTTTGTTTTAGTCCTCTCCAATTTTCAGCCAAAAATAAAAAATAAGAATTAAAAAATTAAACGAATTTTATTAAATCTTTTTTTTTTTTCCACAACAGAATTTTTTTTTTTACAACACTCCCAAAAGATCAACTAATAAAAAACTGTTTGGCGGATATTCACTGACTCCTATTTTAACTTAATCAACGACAAACAACAAACGACAATAACCACAATAAGTCGTAATAGGTAGTGTCTAGAACATATTCACAACATCAACATCAGCATCAACATCAACACACTATCAACCATCAATATATTTTTACACTCGTTTTCCCATATGCAAATATGTCTCCAATAAATTCAATCTTTCAAAATGGTGGAGGAGGATCAGATTCTTCTAACTATGAATCAGCAGTTCAAGATATCGAACAAGAAAAGAAAATGGTGGCTGCTTTGAAAAGATTATCTTTAGGTCATACAATGCAATATGATCCTGATTTACTTCCTGGTTCTATGGATGCTATAGATCCATTTGGTTCTAATAATGGTTTCTATGATGAAGATTTAATTCCTCAACATAATATGTCTAATATGAAAAAAGTATCTAGTCCTACCAAACTTTCACATCAAACGGAAGAAGATACCAATTTGAAGGATGAAGTTCAAGTTGATGACGATTCAACTGAAGCTATTCTTGATTCTTCACAAATATGGGTACCTGCAAATATGCATCCACAAGTTAATCCAGAATCATTTAAATCATTAATTAAATCTCAAGTTGAAGAAATTTTGGAAAGAAGATTATCAAAATCTTCCAATATCTCAAAAAAATCATCATTATCACGTCAATCATCACTTGCTGATGAACATGAGAAACGAGAAAGACTGGAATCTATCTCTCCGACAAAAGAATTCAATATTGATGACGATTTTGTTTTGGTTTCACCTAGAAAGTCTGAACTTTCAAGTACATCATCTCAATCATCTTCAGCATCACCAGTGAAAGGTTCAAAACGTGATTCTTGGAATAGTAATCGATTTCTGAATCCTTCTTTACGTGATTTAACAAATGAATTGGAACAATTATCAAGACGTGCAGGTATGGATAAAAAAGATACAGTAACATTAGCAAGAACTTTATCAACTGCAGCTTTAGGATATACTGATGTTGAAAAAATGGCTATGGACGAAATGACAGGTACAACGGGATCAGTAGCAGGATCAACATCTTCTTCACAAGATAGTAACGGGGGTAATCTGTCATTTTCAAGTACTTTACAATTGCAACAACGTTTACAGCAGCAATTTCAAGAATCACAAATCAAAGCAGAAAGAGAAGCAGAACAGAGATTAATATCACGTCAGGAATTACCTCCAGTTGATATTCAAAGTCAAGATTTTGCATTAAAAAGAAGTAGAAGAACTAATTATAGGAAAACACCCGGATCAACTAGTCCAAATTTGAAATCAAAATCACAACCACAACCAACAAGAAAACCAAGTGCTCGTGATTCTCAAATATTATTTAGTTATAAGAGACCAAGTGATTCTGTAAGTACAACAGTCACAGGACATAGAGCACTGCATAACAATACAACAGATGAAGCCGAGATTCCTTATACTGGGATTGATGGACCTTATCCAACATCTACAAGACCTATGAGTTTCGATCGTATGGGACCTAAAAAGTCATCATCAAGACATCCAGAATATCATCAAGATGGAAGACCCAGGAAAACATCACAAGAATACCCCGATAGACGGGAAATGAAACAAGGATCACCAGAATATGGCGAGGTTCATTCGAGACAACATTCTCAAGAACAACTTCCTAATCGTGGCCAAAAGTCTCCAGAACAACACTATCCACAACAACATAAATCGAGACTGAGCCATCACCATCATGTCCTGTCACGTCATAATCAACAAGATCAATCTGAATATAATAATGGATTTGATGAAAAGAAAATCCCATCGGCCACAAATGCAGATTTTATGAATATGGCAATTCCACATGGATTCCCATCTTCAAGAAGACATCATCGTCAAAGAAGTCCTGGAAATACTGGAAAACCATTACCTGATATCCAACCGCATCAGAATTCTCCAATTGACGGTCAATATCCACCTTCTGGACATTCACAATACCATGGACCATATCAGAAATCGTCCTCTCGTCATAGTCATCATCAACAAATACAACAACAATCGGTGCCATATCCACAACAACAACATCAATTCCGCCTTCAACATCCTGCAGGACAGCCTCCGAAATCACCAACTGAAAGTTCTCACCAGTTTCCCCAACGTTCTCCAACCCAAGGCGGTGTATCTAGTTTTCAAAAACATCATCCAGGTCAATCTCAACAAGTACAAACACCACCTGCATCACAACATAAGAATAATCATCATCCTCATCCTCATCATTATCAAAAGAGATTGCATCAACCATATAGACCAATTCCATTAAAATCCCATCAATTGAATGAGAATTTAGATTTATTACGGTCGGAAATTAATGAATTTAAAGAAAGTTTGAATAGATCTGAATCGGGTAGTAGTAAGAGAATAGTTTCAGAAGCTGAGAGAGAACAACAACATCGTCATCATCACCATCAGAGACCGGAAGTTAATGGATATCATAGAGACCAGCATCGTAGACAGCAACAACAGGTTGTTGTGGAACCTACGGAGGAATTAGTCAGGGAAGAACCTAGGGAAGAGGCTAGTCAGCCACCAACTCCGACAGATATCAGTTTTGACGTGAGTTATCAAGACCTTTCGATTGAAGATCAACTCGGACTTGAGAAACAAGCCTTGAAAGAATTGGGAAGACTCCAACCAGAAGAATCAGAAGCATCGGAACAGATCGTGTTTAATGGACACCTTATTGATGATGATAAGAATGTGGATGATTCTCTGTTTGTGTTTGATATCAATCATGATAGTCTTGGTGATATTGCTGTGGTTGATCATGATGCTGATGAGGATTTGGATCTTTCTGATGAAGAAAATGAGAATGAGGATGATGATGATGATGAGATGGGACATGAGACATTGCTTGAGCTTGAGATTGAAGGACAGCAGATTTTGGATAAGGAAGAAGAACCCGATATGAATTCGAATTCGAAGATATTGGAGAATATTCAAGTTGCGAACAGACCACAACTAAAACAAGAGCGAAAACCATCTTTGCATGATCCGATTGTGGGTGTGAATGTTTCAGAACCATTGCCGCTTGATTTAGAATTAGATTTTGATTTTGAGGAAGAAGAGGAAACAAAGAAGAAGACAAAGAGTGAGGATATGTCAATACGTAAAGATAAATTACGTAAGAAGGAATCAAAAGTTAAGATTAAATTATTTAATAAGGATCCGAATTTGGAAATTATTGATTCTGATAATTATAAAGAAAAGATGAATATGAAGGAATCTAAGAAACATAAAGATACAACCAGTTCTTCTTCTGATCAAAAGACTGTTAAGAAATCGAAATCATTTGGATTGTTAACCAACCATCATCATCTGACTCCAACATCGCCAGAGAACGACAGTGGAGAGAAGAAGGTCAAGAAGAAGAAATCTTGGGGTTGGTTACGTGAAAGATCAGCCAGTGTTTCAAGTGTAGATATGAACAATTTACCACCACTTCCAGAAACCAAAAAGACACCAATTAGATCAGTCTCATCTCCAGAAGTCACATTATATCAACAACAAGCACAAGCTGAACCAAGACTTAGTCTTGAAGAACAATCAAAAGAGAATGTTATTTCTAAATTATTCAAAAAGAAATCACCATCTTCAGCAGCTGCGTCTATTCATTCAGGTGAAGGTAGATCAAGTATCGAGAGTGATGCTGAACATCAAGATTCAAAGGTTGTCAAGAAGAAAGCTAGTAAGCTGTTATTCAAGAAGAGATCCAAAGTCAGATTAGTCAAGGAACATCATAGTGCTAAGAAAGAACAAGCCGTTTTCCAACATGGCAATCGAGACTCTTCCGAAGAAAAGAGTCGTCATCAATCAAGTGTAGAGGATAAGGAGAATTTAGAAGCTGAACTTAAGAGAATGAAAGAACAACAATATCGTGAACAACAAGCATATGAGAAGAAGAAATTACAACAACATGCCCTAGTTGCTCAAGATAAACAAGATGAACCTGACAAGGCAAGTAGTTCACCTGAAGCACAAGTTACGATTGAAATTCAAGATTTACAACCGGAATCAGAATCAACTCCGAAGAAGTCAAGATTATTTTCCAAGAAAAATAAACTGAGCGATGATCATCATGATGAGAAGAATAAACAGGAACAACAATCTAAAGAGCAAACTACCGATGCTGGTGGAGATAATAATAACAATAATAAACAAGAAAGATCAGAAGAACAGGAGAAATTGGACATTCAAGAAAAATTACGAAAATCAATCAAACGAACCTCCAAAGCCAATCAACCTATAGAATTCACCGATTCTGCATTTGGATTCCCATTACCTCCACCATCAAATTCGACATTGGTCATGCTTGATTATAGATTCCCCGTACATGTTGAACGAGCAATTTATCGATTGTCTCATTTAAAATTGGCAAATCCCAAACGATCCTTACGTGAACAAGTCTTGTTATCTAATTTCATGTATGCTTATTTAAATTTAGTTGATCATACTTTACATTTAGAACAACAGATGGGAACTGATGATAGTAAGACTGCGGATGATATAGAGGGTGATGATGATCGAGATGGAGATGATGAAGAGGATGAAGATGTTAAGGATTCTGTATTTGGTGAGAATAATATGATACTTGATGATGATATTGAACCGGATAATGATGCTATGGATTTAGAAATGGTTGAGTTTGGAAATAATGCACATGCTAATGCTGCACGTATAGAGGTTTAATAGTTTTGTCTACAAATATTATATTTTTGAAGAATGGTTTGAGCCCCCTGGGTGGGTACTCGATTTTCAAATTTTACTAGTTATATAAATAGGTGAATATAGTTTAGGACAAATTTAAAAGAATGAAATTTAGAGCGACTTACATATTTCAGAGTCATGTAGGGAATCGTGTAGTTTAACTCTGAATACATTTCGTGACTTGAGGCGATAATCAAGAGAGTTGTGAGTCCAGAAGATGCATATGAAATTTCTGGAATTATACANTACCCTTGAGAGAACACATTGCCACCTTTCTTCCCCATGTTTGGTTTGAATATAACAACCTAACAAGATCAACGTCCCCCCAGTTTGCAACTATCTTAACCCCGCCTATTAGTGGATGTTTTCGGCGTGTGTTACGATGGGGGTAATGAAAGTTGGAAAGGTTAATTTTTATCTCAAAGTTATCTCCGCCAACATCCAAACTACAACTAATCATACAGCGGAGTTAAGTCACGTGACACGGGTTTTGAGCCATTGTTAGAGTGTATTGTTTAACCGTTTATGGCACCATAAATGCATGAATGGAACACACGAAAAAAAAAATTAAGTCTTGACAAATATATAAACCCTGATTAGTTTACTTTTTCTTTTGTAGTTTTTCAAATAATCTTTTTTATTGTTTACACTTTACTGTACAATAATATAGTATCAGGTAAATTTCTTCCCATCTTGAACGCTTGAATCTAGACGCGTCTATTCCCTTCGCTCATCAAACTTAAACAAACAAAGAAAAAAAGAAAGAAATTCCAAATTTTTTTTACCCAGAAAGCTATTCATTGATAGAGAAAGAAGATTTTATAAAGCCAGAGATGTCTAGAAGTTTACCTTTGATGTCTGCCGCCGAGGTGGCCAAACACAACACCAAGAAAGATATTTGGGTAACATTATATCAAAGAAAAGTCTATGATGTGAGTAATTTTATTGGTGAACATCCGGGCGGAGCCGATATTATCCTTCCTTATGCTGGGAAAGATATTACTGGTATTATGGCCGATGTCGTGTCCCATGTTCATTCTGAAAGTGCTTACGAAATGTTGGATGATGACATGTTGGTTGGATATTTAGCTACATCTAAAGAAGAAAAGAATTTACTTCAAAATAAGAATAATACTCGAGTTGATGTTACTTTGAGTGATGATGAGAATTTTGACATGTATGAATTTCATGATCATTTACCTGCTTTGGAAAAACTTTGGATTAAGACTGATTTTAGTGAAGATGCTAAGAAGCATAAGTTTTTAGACTTGAATAAACCTTTATTAATGCAAGTTCTCCGTGGGAATTTTACTAAAGAATTTTATTTGGATCAAGTTCATAGACCAAGACATTATGGTAAAGGTTCAGCACCACTTTTTGGAAACTTTTTAGAACCACTTTCCAAAACTCCATGGTGGGTTATTCCAATTATTTGGATTCCATGTAATTTTGCCCTTTTTTATGTTGGTTTTAGTAATCAAAGTCCAATTACAGCACTTAGTTTATGGGTATTAGGATTATTTGTTTGGACATTTGTTGAATACTTTTTACATAGATGTATTTTCCATATGGATAAATTATTGCCAGAAAGTAGTATTGCTTTTACTATTCATTTCCTTTTACATGGTGTTCATCATTATTTACCAATGGATCCATATAGATTGGTTATGCCTCCAACATTATTCCTTATACTTGCATTCCCATTCTATAAACTTGTTTTTGCCATTTTTCCATTCTATCAAGCTTGTTCTGCATTTTCTGGTGGAACTTTAGGGTATATTATTTATGATATAACTCATTATGTAATTCATCATACTAAATTACCACAATTTTTACAAGAGTTAAAGACATATCATTTAGAACATCATTATAAGAATTATGATTTAGGATATGGTGTTACTTCCAGATTCTGGGATGTTGTTTTCGGAACTGAAATTACCGAGACTTACCAAAAGACAGCCTAGAGAGTTGTTGGTTTTAGATAGGTTTGAGTTTTTTCAGTTTGTTGTTTTTGTATTGTTTTTGTAATCCTTGGGTTTTTAGATTAAATATGTTCTTAGCTATGCCGTATATAGTTTGCTGTGTATAGTACGTATTGTTTTTGTTAAATAAATAATATTAACAATTCCATAACTAATTAATCTATTTGTTTATCAAGTACGTGTCTTCATCAATGGTATTATTTTCATCTTGACAAATCATCCTTCTTAATTCTTCAACATTACTTAGATCTTCCTCCAAGGCGATCCGTTGTTTTTTTCGACTTCTTTTAATGTGTTTATCCCAATCCATCTCTTGATACTTTTCCTGAATTTCTAACATCTTAAAAAATTGATGCTTTAAAGTCCTTGATTGTTCCAACTTAGCTTCACGCTTCAATAAATATTCTTTTGCCAATCCTTCATAGGGTAATCTTCCTGATGTCAGTTGTTCATCCTTCAATGACATCAAATAATTAACAACATTAAACCCATTTTTTCCAATCACTTCAATATCATCTTGGGGCATATCCTCTTCCAAATCATCAAATTCATAATTATACTGAATGTTCTCAAATGCATCTTCACAACGAGAATATAATTTTCTATAAGTTTCAGTATTCAACTTTTTATATGGAGACTTTTCACTTGTGAGTGCACTTTGAAGAACCCGTTGCCATCCAATAGGTTGGCTTGTAGTATTAGTGGTGGTAGTTAGCAATTCATTAAGCATATTATCAAATCGATTGGCAAGCTGATGTGACAATTGTTTAAACATGACATTCGAAGACATGCTATCACTTGTTTCTAGACTATCATTGATCTTTCCATGTTGTTTCATTTTAGATATCTTTTGATTGATTTTGGATTGGATCTGAGATGATAATTCATTAAGTAGGAGAGTCTTTGAATTGGGGACCGATTCTTTCATTGTGACTTTTATAATTGGTTTCTTGACGAGATCTATTGGGTCATATTCCTGCTTTTTGATTTGGATATCCTGTTCCTGATCCGAGCTTTCATTATCCAGATCACTATCTTCTTCTTCTTCTGACTCATCTTCATTGTCATTAGAAACAATCAGCCTGGTTTTATCACGCAGTTTCTTATATTGATTCCTTACTCGTCTATATCCGTCATAATCAACTTCTATATCCTTATCATAATACCCTTCATTTATTATTAAATTATCTTCATATTCATGTTTCGGTATTGGAACATCATCAAAATCTAACGGCCATGCAGACCATTGACGTCGAGGGAAATAAGGATTAACTCGATGTAGAAGAACTGTAGAATATAAATGGATTGATAGATCTGATCGGAATTCATCTTCTAAGGAGTCTAAGATCTCCTTTCTATCTTTTCTAGTTGTCATTGTCTAACTTTCAGATAGAAGACTGATTGGATGGTGAGGCTCAAGTTTGTATTTTTTTTTTGGGTGATGAGCTGGGTACGCAGTTGCTGCAAAAAAAGATACCATCCAGGCAAGGCAAAGGAGGGTTGACTATATTTCGATTTGAAGACATACAAATACCGTAAGAGATTAGGTAGTAAGTAATATATAACGTAATCACTTTTTCATTATAAACAAAAAACGAATTTGTCAAATAGATAAAAATTATATAAAGTAAAAGTCCAACTATTGAGCAGTATAACCACCATCAACTAACAAGGAAATACCAGTAATAAATGATGCTTCATCAGACAACAAGAATGCAATTGCATCGGCAATTTCTTCAGGTTCACCCAATCTACCAATTGGATGTCTTAAAACCAATTCATCATAAACCTTCTTTTCCAAGGCATCCAATAATGGAGTTTTAATATATGCTGGATTAACTGAATTAACTCTAATTCCCTTCTTAGCATATTCAATTGCTAAAGTTTGAGTTAATAATTTAACACCACCTTTTGAAGCTGTATAATTGGCTAAACCAGGATTACCAACATAACTTAAAATAGAACCAACATTAACAATATTTCCTGGTTTTTCAAATTCTTCCCAATATTTAATTGCCAATTTATTAAGTGCAAATAATCCATTAAGATTTACATCAATAACACGTTTAAATTCATCAAAAGTTTCATCAGCTCCTAAACAAGTAGTATTAATCATTCCAGCATTAGCAACAACAAAATTCAAACCTTTATGTTCATCAAGAGTAAAATCAACTAAGTTGGTATTATCTTCAAATTTTGCCACATCAGTATGAATAAATTGAACACTATGATTGTTGGGGGATAATTTTCTAATGGTATTTAAAGCAGCATCAACTTTATTAGCTGGGGTAATATCACCAACTACAACTTTTGCACCTAAGTTAAGTAATTTAACTGTGGTGGCTAAACCAATTCCTGAAAGACCACCAGTAACAATGGCAATTTTGTTTGCAAAATTATATGACATACTTTAGTTGATAGATAGATTACCGTTTAACAGAGAGAATTCGGTGGTTTTGAGAATAAAAGAAGAAGAAATTGAAAAAGAATAATAAAATTTCAAACTGTTTAAATAATTTTAAAAATTTCATGGGGGATGGACTCAAGAGTCGATAATTAATTATTATACAATGATTATGTGTAAACCCCCTTAACCGGCTTCCATCCACCTCCCCCCCCTTGGAAAAAAACGCTTTATTAAATTCTTGGAAGGAACAATAAAATTTAAGAAATTCAAACTTTTTTATTTTGACAATGTGATTTTGACACATTGCATATGTCCATTGGCTAATGGTATAGTTGAAGGTTTTGATTTTATGTATGGTTAAAACTCAATACCCAAAGTCAATTCTCATTGGTTGGTAAATTATACTCCACAATTCGTGATCAAAAACATCGGTTGATTTATTTTCTCTCCACTTGAAATAACTTTTAGTCGTTTTTCTAATTATAAAATATTTTTTTAATTGGAACAATAAGATTAACAATTAGCACAATACAACAATAAATGAAATCTTCCATTTAAAAACGGCAACCATTTGATACAGGCATTCGGTTTTTTCATATCCTCACCAGTTACATCAGAGAGCTAAAGCTTAATCTACTAACGCACGCACACCAACTGAGCCTTAGTCACTCATAGGATATGCATTGATAGTTTTTTGTAATAAGCTTTAATCTTTTTTTGGCTTAACCGGAAAGACTAAGAAAAAATTGTTCAAGCAAGTTTCATTTTATGCTGCAAGTGCCATAACATCAGGTGATTCATAGCGCGCGCAAGCTTCCGGGTTACAAAACGAATACCCGGGACAATATAAGCTTTAAGTCCAGTGTTTCTCACACCATTTCTATATCAATTATTGTCTTTTGTTTCTTGGATCCGTCGAACTGTTGGGCCGCGGGATATTTTTTAGTGGTTAGGTTACCTGCACAGTGATAATTGATAAAAGTATGAAAATTATAATTGCAAAAACATATCTAATTTATTGACTAACTGTTTGCAACTGAAGAATCGAACATACAACGTTAACGCGCTCCCTTGATTGATATATAATCCAGAGGTAAGAGTTACATAGTGCCTTGCATTGACATACATAGATCTACATGAATCTGCTTGTCTAGACTTGAGATCCTTTCAAATCAAGGGGGGGATTAGATTTCTTTACTTAATGCTTCAGATGAAACCTTTACCCAATAATTTTATTAAATCTATAAAGCCAAAATAACCCAATATGAATCAATCAAAACGAAATAAATAAATCAATCGTAGCTAACTAACTAGAGAAAGTCCTATTACTACTAGAATCACATTCAACCATCCCAGTATGAATATCCTCATTCTTTTCAAGATCCTGTTTTGCATGTTTCCGTTTCATAATATCGACAATTGCCAAATTTTCAAGTATAAATTCATCGGCCACATCCCCATCCAATCTATCTAATTCTTCTCTGGGGATAAATAATGGCCAAACCCATTTGGCACAGAATGCAAAAAATAAAAGCACCCCAGGGAATGCTACTGCTCCTTTTGTTAATGTGATTCCAAATTCCGCCACTCCGGCAAGTGTTTCTAATACAGTATAGATATAGAACCATTTCTTGGTTGGGAATTTACTGATATCTTTCCAGACTTGGGGACAAGATGGATCATTTTCGATATATTCTTCATCTAAGAAACAATAACGAATTCTATTGGTGACGATATTTCCATGCAATCCTGTTATAGCCATTATGAAGAATAATCCAGAAAGGACAGCTTGAGGGATTAATCCAAGAAGAATTAAAAATGGACCTGTCATCATGACGAAAGTTAATGCTCCTTGTAAACTGTTTGTAACTCTTTGTTCCACGACTGATAATCGTTTCCCATATTTATCATGTACGACTAATGAATCGGTATGTAATGGTGCTTGGGGGATTAATCCATTGGGAGCAGGTATACCCAAAATACCAGCAATACCGGTTGTGATTCCAAGTAATAAGAAATCCCAATGGAATGATGCAGGTTTCTTTAATGGATATTCTTTCAGTTGACACATGAGCGAAGATACATTATGATCAAAATAAAATAAAAACGTTAATAATATAGCAAATGGAATAGCTAAGAATACATCAGCCACAGCAATATTTTCACCTGGCCAAAAGTGGATAAACCAACCATGTCCTCTATCTGATCCAGAATGTGTTGGTTGGAAAGCAGCAGTGACTGGTAATTTTGCAAATGTAGTTTCTTCTAAATGTCCTCCAAAATGAATGAATGCAGTAAAGAATATAACCAGGACTACTACTCCATAATCAGCAAATATTTTTCTTACCCAAGGTTTAAAATAATGTAAATAATTCCCAAATATAATTGATCCAACTCCACATATAATCATCAATAATGAAATCATGACTGATACATATCCACTAGCAAGATCTACTTCTCTGAATTGATTATTTAAGATTTGAATCCCCTTTTGAATATAGACAATGTTTATAAAGAATCCAAATACATCACATGAAAATAAACTTATAATTTTAAGAAATGATACATAATTTCCAACCGCTATTATAATATGAAAAATCATTGACCACAAATATATCCAACACATAAATGGGAAATATGGAGTCCCTCTAGGTTCTATTAATTCATAAACAGTGTAACTGAAGATAGATATTGGACCAGTTACACCAACAATACAAAGGGGTTGTCCTGAAAATAATCCAAATACAACTCCCGCCAATCCTGACAGTAGTAAGACTTCATTAACTCCATAAGCATGATTTGTTTTATCAAACATATCTTGAGCAAATGCAATTGCTGGTAATAGATTTGTAAAGAATATAAATATGGTTGAAGGTATTACTCGATAATTGAATGCATCTTTGAAATCTGATTTGTAATAGGGTAATCTACTTTTAATATCATAGTAGATTCCATATCCAATATAATTGAAGGTTTTAAATGATAGACCCATGGAAGCTGTGCGTATCAAGTACTTTTCTATCTGTTTATCTGTATCTGTGTGTGGTTTGTTAAGATAATGTAGTAAGTAAGTAAGCAAGTAAAGATTATCTTCTGCAAACTAAAGGAGGCTCGTGGCTGATAAAAAAATTCTTCTAAGGTTGCGGCACGGATAGGAAAAACGTAAAAAAATTAACGAAAAAGAAAAGTTTCTTTTTTTTTTTATTTTGCGTTCCTTATTTAATTTCCTGGCTTTTTTTTTCGGATGAGCCTGTCAAAAACGGCTGTCAAAAATAATTTGAAAAGGAAGTTAAATACGGAAAAAGAAGATAAATGAAAAATGAAACACAAAAATGAAAGTTAGGGATGATTAATCCGCTTTTATATTTGGCAGTCTAAGCTTATCTATTCTTGGCGTTTATTGAAAGGGAGTTGGAGAAAAAAAAATATCAAATCACTGTGATCATAACCATTTATAGTTTTACTCCACTAAATGCTCCCTTTCTAAAGTAATGATTAGCGAGGATGGTGAATGCAAAGCTTAAATATACTCCGAGGGGAAATGGCTTTGATATCCGTAATCCACCGAGCTAAGATTCATCAGACTCTACCATCTGGATTAACAATATATCGACGAATCTATACACCTCGTTGGTAGTAGGGTACCAGGCCATTCCAAACCCCATACCCTAAACCCCAAACTTTGTAAGAGGAAAGTTAGGGCTCTTTATCTACCAATAGCTACTAAGCCAAGGAATGTGCTTATCAAACATCAGGGCTTCGATGAATACAGAACGAGCGTTAGATAGGTCATCGAGGCAACCCCACCACCGAGAAAAGGCTACATGGAGTGACCCTCCACCCATCTCCCAGGATCTTTTAAAGGAATTCAAGAATGCATCATGGACATAACCTTCCCATGCCATATACAGGTACAACCAACAACCGACAAGGGTCTTTTTTTGTTACACAAAATAGATGCCAATACGCACTCATATACTAAAGGGTCCTTATCTGAAAAAAAAAAAATTCAGCGAACTTAACCTAATACGCGAAAAAACAAAACCACTTTTAATTATTTAAGCTTTTTTTATCAAGCATTGAATCCAAAAAAATCATTGATTTGAACCATTTAAAACCCAAAATGAATGAATATGATGACAAAAAAGTCAATTTGACACGGACAGGACTCGAACCTGCAACCGTTGGATTTGGAATCCAAAACTCTACCAATTGAGCCACCGCATCAATTTTTTCTAGCTTTTTTTGCCGGTTTTAGGTCTCGGAGTTTTTGAGCTCATTTTTCGGCTTTGAATGGGGCCGAAACTTGTAAGGATCTGTATGGATAGATAGAGCTGCTCAAGAAGAACTGCGAGGTGAAATATGAAATCATCGTTACTTAGAATTTTTGGGGTCTATCAGAGTTTTAAAATGTGTCTTATCTATTTCATCTCTCACAAAATGGGGGAAAACTCAAAATAAATCTCATCCCCAGAAAAAATCCCCTGAACCTAGGAACATAACAGTTCTTTCAATACACTTACCATTCTGTTTATTTAGTTCTAATATGTAATCGTTTTTCATATACAATCTGTTTATTGAGTTCTTATGCATACTAACATACAGAAACAGAACAATCAGAAAAACAATATACTTTAAAGGCAAAAAGCATCATTGCCTAAAACCTCATTTCAGAACCATCTTAGAGACTGAGTGTATAAGAATAATTATTAAGACTCTTGGAGGTGTACGATACCCATTTGCGAATGAATTGGACCGTGAGCTCAACGTTCCGGCCCCCTGCACGTCGAAATTTTTGAAACTTATAAAGGAGGGCGAGGTATCGATTTAGCTGCATTAATTGAAATGGTTGAAGGGAGGAATTGCAAATAAAGAGGCAATTCCTCCTTGGTAGTGAGCGTGGACGGCAGAGTTGCCAAGACTCTTCGACGCGCATGATACCCATTTTCTAATGAAGTGTACCGTGAGCTCAACGTTCCGCCCCCCTGCACGTCGAAACTTTTGGAGCTTGTAAA